GAGAGAGAGAGAGAGAGAGAGAGAGAGAGAGAGAAAATTGTGGATCAAGGGGCATAATAAGAACAAACGTGAGAAAATCAAATAAGTGTGTGTAACCTCCCTTCGCATCTGTCAATGACACGTTTAACTGAACCCCCAGCCTTGGAAAGACAATAATTATACTCTTTAAGTTTTCCTGGAGTTGTGCAGTGGATGAGACAGCACAGTTATACGTTGTATCTAGAGCTTGAAATCCTGTTATACGTTGTATCTATAGCTTGAAATCCAGTTATAAGTTGTGTCTTTAACTTGAAATCCTGTTATAATTTGTTTCTATAGCTTGGAATCCTGTTATAAGTTGTGTCTATAGCTTGAAATCCTGTTATAAGTTGTGTCTATAGCTTGAAATCCTGTTATAAGTTGTGTCTATGGCTTGAAATCCTGTTATAAGTTATGTCTATAACTTGAAATCCTGTTATAAGTTGTGTCCATAGCTTGAAATCCTGTTACAGGAGGTCGGGTTTCGTTTGTGAACGATCCACAACAATTCAGAGTAATTGCACAAGTAAAAATTCAACTGATTTTAATAAAGAGAAAACAATAACGTATCAATAAGTACTCACCCCTACCCGCCCTCATCACCACCTCAAAGCCTTTTGGAGTTGAAAAAAAGACAGCATTTTTTTTCAGTATACAATTTAACTGTAATGTATATTATTATCATCATAGATACAGTGGAGCATGCTCTAACAGCCACCTGTATAAGACAATCACCTGTACAAACGGTCACTGCTCATTTCTGCCCGTGTGTATATTATATTTAGATTATATTGACACTGTGTATAGCGTCTTCCTGTCTAAGACAACCACTTTTCTGGCCGACAATGTGAGGACGTCTTTGACCATTTAGACGATTTTGTTAAAAACGATACAGTGGAGTCAGGCGTTCGCCAATTTTTGGGCATACTGAATTATTGATATCATCTTAAAGCTTGTTCATTTTGTCTTGCTTTTGATATATAAATTAGAGGAGAAAAATATTTTGGATTGAAGGAAGTGGGAGTCACATGGCTTCAGAGGTAAAATTAGCGAGAAAATGGCCGCCATATGGAGAATCTATGGAAACTATATTTACACTCTTAGTGACTTTAATCAACGGTGTTTGGTAAATTCCTCACAGGTGTTTGTTGTAAAATGGATCTAAAAAGTGTTGAGCCAAAAAACGAAAATTCGATAAAAATTGCCTAGCGAGATGAAAAATGTTGTTTTCTTCGATTTCATTATTTTGACGAGCGCCTGTTTTCACCACGATGTCTCTCACAATTCTGCAGACTTACCTGATCCCAGTTGACCAACGATATGTTCCATAACCGGCATGCAGCGGTCAGCGGTAATGGAGATGGTCATGTTTATGTCACGATTCTTGTTTGTCCGGCTGAAGAACCAGGTCTCGAAATTGGTTTGGTCGTCGTAGAGGCCCAGGTACGAGGAGCCAATGTATTCTGCATTGTCTGGACAATCATTAATCAATGTTTTTACTGATCAGGAAACTGGACCATAAACCGATAAATCAATCTATGTATCTACAAAGGATTAGGTAACTAAATGAACGATACATTCAGTAAAATTAATTGGTCGCTTTTAAGGACAAGCGGGCTAACCCAGATTTCGGGGGTTTCCAGAAATCTAGACCTACCCCAAAAGTAGGTATTGCCCTACCTATAGGAGAAGTTTGGTTTCTTTAGTGTGTATATTTGTTTGGTTATAGAGAAAACTCTCCTTGTCTTTTAAAGAAACTGAACAAGGGGCAAAAACCTTACCATCGATTTTCTCAAATCATCATTTTTCGGGACAGCCCCTTTGTGCTTAAAAAAAAGCGACCAATTAAATCTACAGCTGAAATAATCGGTCTATCAAAAAACCAAGAACAGAGGGAAGGATTAAGTCTGTGGAAAATGGTAAAGGTTTAACCCCCCTATCAACACTGTAAGGTAAGAGGCGGAGCCATCTCCGAAAAGACTGAACCAAGTGGAAAATTCATGTAAAGTGTTTTTCCAAGGACACAACATCAGACCTAGCTGCGACTCCAACCCCTGGACCACACAAACTCACGAATTCGAGTCCGGTAGCCTAACCACGAGGCTACCGACGCCACTATTAAGTCTTTGAAAACAACAGAACTTATAGTTAAATTAATCAATGACTTATCGAACTACCAATCAATAAGCAAGCAAACATATTTAACGTGACTTTTAACGAATCAACATTTCTCATTACATTTATTGTTACAGAGCTGTTATAAAGGCAGAAAAGAAGTGGCTACAGAAAAGACAAGATCGATAACAACTACCCCCTGATGCAGCAGTTTTTGGTACCAAGATTGCTGCTACTGCTGCTACTTCGGTGGCTGCTGTCACCCTGCTTACGCTACAAAACGCATCAAATATGTCGTTTTCTGAGACAAAAGTATCGTTTTGTTGGTGGCAAAAATGTCGTTTTCTCTGTGACCAAAAATGTCGTTTTCTCTGCAACACAAAAAATGCCGTTTTCTCTGAGACAAAAAATGTCGTTTTCTCTGCAACACAAAAAATGCCGTTTTCTCTGTGACACAAAAATGTCGTTATCTCTGTAACACAAAAGACTGAACAACGGTTTCTCACCAGGCATGCATGGCTCCAACATGCCATAATCCACTGCTGACTTGCTACATTTGCCGTCTCTGATTGTGTAGCTGACTTTCTGTAAAAGAATGTAAAGGGGCGTTGCGCTGTAAACACTGGGATGAAGGAATGCCTTTTTATTTTCAACGTCCTGTCTGAGTGTATAAAATGTACAAGAAACATCTGATTTCTCTAAAGACGAAATTTTGGATTCAAGTTATAATCAAAAGCTTTACTGAGAAACAGAACAAAAACAAAAGTGAAAATTCCGATACCATTCCTATCTGCTGTGGCGTTTACAATTGGTCGATTTTATGGACAAGCGGGCTAACCCAGATATCGGGGTTTTCCAGAAATCTTGACATATACCAAAAGTTGGCATTGCCCTACCTTTAGGAGAAGATTGGTTTCATTGGTGTGTACTTTTGTCTAGTTATAGAGAAAACTATCCTTATCTTTAAAGGAAATTGAATAAGGGGTAAAAATTTCACCTTCGATTTTCTCGAAACAGCATTTTTCGGGACTGCCAGCCTTGAGCTTAAAAACGACCCGTTCAATTAGTCACAGATGTATAAAAAGACGTTTTGGTCTTTGTTGCGAGATTAGATAGATAGATAGATAGATAGATAGATAGATAGATAGATTGACAGATAGATAGATAGATAGATAGATAGATAGATAGATAGATAGATAGATAGATAGATAAATAGATTGATAGATATATAGATAGATAGATAGATCTCAGGTCTGCTGAGGTAATATTGTTATACATGCAGATTGTAAAGCCCATAGGGCAGCAGAGCTTATTGTTCAATAGAATTTGTGCTGACATTTATTATTCATTATTATGTGATTGCTGTATGTACTGCATTGGTGTTTCCTTCAACAAATGCCTATCGGCTTAGCGATAAGTACCTTGTCTCTTAAATAAATGAACATACCAGTCAATGAATGAATTGAGGGCTTATTAAATTAGCTTGACTGGAGAATTGTGTAGGGTTTTGTTTGTAGGTGAGCAAGCGTGAATGTGAAGGAGTGTGTGTGTGTGTGTGTGTGTGTGTGAGTGTGTGTGTGTGTGTGTGTGTGTGTGTGTGTGTGTGTGTGTGTGTGTGTGTATCTTTTTAAGGGGTAGGTGTTTTACGGCGCTTGCTTCTGCATAAGGTCATAGGAGTGCGCGGGACTCATTAAACATTTTTTTTAGTAGGTAGGAAATTTTGAATTTTGCCTGGGTGGCGGCCGAAGCCTACTCTTATCAATTTTGGACCACCAAGGGATCTTTCACGTGTGCAACTTGCACCCAGGAACTCGGAGATATTTTGCCCTGATCCAAGAAGGCTAGGTGTAGATCTTAACCATCTTAAGATCAGAGGTGTGGCTGAAAGACAGCAGTAAGAAAGAACCAAGGAATAGCAGTAGAAAGACTGCAGAAAGAGTCAGGAGCCCAGAGGAGGGGTCAAAGGAGGTGAGGGGGTGGAAGCAGAAAGTGGAGACGAAAGCAGGCGATAGAACATTGGTGGAGAGCGGGAAATAATGTGAAATCAGAACATTAAAATTTTCCCGTCGCTATCCGGATTCGAACACAGGACCTATTGAATGAGAGGTGAATATCTTAACCTCTAGACCACGAGAGCTCTCCTCCCCCCATGTGTGTGTGTGTGTGTGTGTGTGTGTGTGTGTGTATGTGTGTGTGTGTGTGTGTGTGTGTGTGTGTGTGTGTGTGTGTGTGTGTGTTTGGGGTAAGGGGTAATACGGGGTGCCCACTACTGCTGGATCGGGTCGATCGCCCGACTCGATCGCCTGAAACTGAAAACAAACACGTTTGTTTTTGAGGCGATCAAGTCGGGCGATCTGACGGATCGGCCGATCCCATCCCTAGTGGGCACCCAATATAAGCTTGTGTAGGTTTGCCTACGTTGGTTTATGCGCACGGAGTGTGTGAAAGTATCCTAACCGAAGCATTACAAAAGCTGTTTCAAGGTCTGTAAAGTCTCACGTTTTTGAAGTCGGTGTGTGTCCGGTAGAAAGTCTCTCCGATTGCGTACGCGGTGAAGGTAGCGAAGTCCTGGACCTGTAGTCTTCTCACCCAGTCCCGGTACACACGCATTACTTGCTGAGCAGAAATATAATACATATAGAATATAATTTGCAAAAGATTAGCGAAAGATCTTGTCAGTTTGCTAGTGTCAGTCTCTCTTTGCCCCCCCTCCCCCCCAACCCTCTCTCTCTCCGTCTGTGGGTTTGAGTGAGTGTGTATGTGAGTGTGTGTGTGTGTGTGTGTGTGTGTGTGTGTGTGTGTGTGTGTGTGTGTGTGTGTGTGTGTGTGTGTGTGTGTGCAGCGTCCGAGGTGAAGGTTGTGAAGTCTTGGACCTGTAGTCTTCTCCCCCAAACATGGTATTCACGCATCACTTGCTGAGCAGAAAAAAAATATTGTAGACTTTTCATTGTAAGTAAGTTTATTCAGTGTTTAAGGCCATTGGCACCCAACACATAATACAAAACACTCATTTGTTTAATAAAGTTTCCTTGGTGAAAAAGTACAGGTTGCGCATATTATCTCTTCTGATGGGTCAAACATTGTATATTTCTGTCAATGGGCCAAGTCAGGCTGGGAGGAATTAACAATTTCCTTTGATGGACAAAATTTGGATAATAGAAAATAAAGTGAAATTCATGTTCAGTTTCGTGAGAGTTACACCTCTTACATAAAGGTGAATTTATTAATTCCCCCCAGCACCAGAATTTAATGACACAATACTTGTAAAATAATAGGAACGTAAATTGGTTCTTCTCTTGAAATTAAACACGTACGTGTAGCTTTGCCAAAGCTAAGAAAGGCTTTCCAGAATTTTATCTGAACGTTTTCAATCACGTCTCAATATTTGGCACCCCAAATTTCAGAGCCATAAAGTAGCATAATTATAAATTGTAAAAGATCAGCAAAAGATCTTGTCAGTTTGCTAGTGTTTGTGTTTTTAATCGGCTCCGATCTAGTGAATGCCTTAGTTGGTTTGTCAATTGATTGATTTCATAGGGTTCTTCTACAGGTACTGTCGTAGGTTAAGGGCTAGTACCCTGATGTTTTCTAAAACTGGACTATTTTTCACTGGATATCTTCAACTCGCTACTTTAGAATTACAAAATTCTACTTGCTCACTACCTAGTTTTGAGAAATTTGACTTGAACATTTTTGAGTTTCACAATATGTCAAATTTTTTCGGACGCAATCCTTTGAATATCTTGTTAATGACTCTGAATAATCTTATGATTTTGATGGAGCAGACAGAGCATTTTATTTCTGATCTCATGGTGTTCCTAATTCAAAACGATCCAAAACCTCAGGTAGAACTGATTAACGCCTCATCCCCATCGACACAATTTAGAGAGGAAGGCTGCTTCGAACCCTGAATACCAGGACCAACCCGGGTTGGATTGGATTTAAAAATTCACATACTTGTTAACCCCCCCCCCCCACCTGAAGAATCGAACTCATGTCTTCTGTGTGCAACAGTGAATAACTTAATCATTACACAACACACATCGGCTTTATTTAAAACTTGCATTTCTCACCTTGTTGTGAACATTAAACGTCGCTAATGGCGTTATCACAGCTTGGAACTTGTACGGCAAGCAGCATGGCTTTGGCGACTGTTCGTAGGGCACTTCTGCTGATACTCCATACAGCTGCACAACCAGGAACAAGAATACGACGAAAACCAGCGAATGCTGGTATAGAGGCGGCATATCTGAGCGGACGAAAACTGTTTAAGATGAAAAGTAAATGGGAAAAAGTGGGTTTTGGGTTATAGCTCTGAGTTTGTCTCTGCAACGGAGGATACATTAGGTCTGGATGTGGATTTGGGACACTACTAAAGAAGGAAAGAAGGAGTAGATGACAGAAGAGGGAGTCCCTGGGGCGGTGCTACTGACTGAAGTGTTTT